GGGGGGGGGGGGGAGAGAAGGCTAATAATGTGCAAAGTAAGAGAAAGCTCATACAACTTATGGCAACTTACAGTAGCTTTGTACAGCCATTTATCACAAGGTTCGTTTCAGCCAATGCATCGGTGAGCAACTTGCAATACAATGGAGGAGTCTTCTGCTCTCTTAGCCCCATGTTTCAGTATTTACTTAAGCTGTCTATGGTAATAGAAAATCCAAGGTGCTGTGGCACTGCTGTGGTACATAAGTTGGATGACCCATAACTGGGCTTTTTCTTGAAATCACTCTTTAAACATTTCTCACTTACTTTGTTCTAGCATTGCCAGGTTTAATCTGTTTGTACTTTCGGAAAGCCTTTGATAAAGCCCATCACAGAAAGCTATTAGAAAAATGAAGCAGCATTGGAGTTATAGGCAAAATGCTGTTATGCACCAGAAACTGGCTGAGATGAAAGGAAGAGAAGGGGTAAATGGGCACAACTGAACATGGCTAAAAGTCAGCAATTGGTGTCACCAGAGGTTGATGTAGGCCAGATGGTGTTGACCAAATTTCTTAACAGAGTGGAAATGGCAGCAACATTTGCAGATGACTCAAAATGAAGAAATTAAGTTAAAACTGGAGGATGTCAGGGCCCCTGACAAGCAACCCAGCCAGAACTAATTGTCCAGTTGACTAAACCAGAGGTTGTAACAGCAGCCTGACCCCAGCTGATGAACCAGATGGCCACACTTAGGGCCTCCCAGTTTGCTACAGGTGGACTTAAAATGGGGAGGGTGTTCTTCCCAGCAGCAATCTTGCATTCAAAAACTCATCTAACTTTATCCCAGCTACATAGTTGGTCCAAACACCCAAAGAAATCCTTCCCCTTGGCTTTGGTAATTTGGCCTTACTCCAGAACCTCAATTCATTCTGTGATCTGGACTGCCCCTTGATTTCCCCCTGGAATTACGTAATTTAGTCCCCAACTCTAGAACCCTAACTCACCCTGTGACTTGGACTCTGCTGGAGTTCCCCATCAGTTTAGGTTCCTTGGACTCTAGCTCCTTTCTCTGGCCCTCTTCTAGTGGCCTATCCCTTAGGCCAGACTAGTTCTTATAGCAAAGCCTTTGAGGAACTTGAGAGGACTGAACTGGGTGAGGGGAATGTGCAGATGGCACTCAGGTGTTCACAAATGCAAAGTAATGCACATAGGAGGGGAGATTCTGAAATCCTAATACACTTCACAGAATTTTCTGTGACCCTTATGGCCAGCAGCAGTCAAAAAAGCTTGGGTATGTAAGGAATAGCACACAGCAGCATGGTCATACCAATGCAATAGATATAGCAGGGGAACAAAATGATTAGAGTCCTGGCAAGTCTAGGGCTTCTTGGTTATGAAAAGAGATAGGAAAGAGGGGATGAGAGAGAGGGTTGCAGAGCAGTGAGAATGGAGATTGTATTCCCCTGTTCACCCCCCTGCAGAAGAACGCAAGGACATTCAAGGGGACTGACAGGTGACACATTTACTACTGATCAGCAGAAAAGCTATTTACTACTGTGCAGTCAGCCTGTGGACCTCACTGCTCTCTGGGGCCAGTAATTCACTGGGATTCCTTCCATGGCAAGGAAGGACACCCATACTTACATTTGATAGGGTTATTTTCAGTGGAAGGTAGGAGCTAAACGGTAGGAAGGTAGGACGATCTCCACCCCAGAGTGCTGAGGGAACCAGCAGAGGTTATTGCAGGACCTCTGGCACGGCTTTATGAGCACTCATGGTGCTCTGGCGACGTGCCGGAGGACTGGAAAAGGGCCAATGTGGTTCCCATTTTCAAAAAAGGGAGGAAGGACGACCCAGGAAACTATAGGCCCGTTAGTCTTACCTCAGTTCTGGGGAAGCTTTTTGAGAAAATTATCCTGGCACATGTCCATGAAGGACCAGCAAGGGAGATTATGCTTAGGGGCAGCCAACATGGTTTCTTTACAGGCAGGTCCTGTCAGACCAACCTGGTGGCCTTCTATGACCAGGTCACCAAATCCCTGGATGCAGGTGTCGCAGGGGATATAGTCTCTCTGGACTTTAGGAAGGCCTTCGACATGGTCTCTCACCCCATTCTCATTAAAAAACTAGGAGACTGTAGTGTCGATGCCTATACAGTCAGATGGGTCACTAACTGGCTAGAGGGCCGCACCCAGAGCGTGGTGGTGGACGGGTCTTATTTGACCTGGAGGGATGTGGGTAGTGGGGTCCCCCAGGGCTCGGTCCTCGGGCCTGCATTGTTCAACATCTTCATCAGCGACTTGGACAAAGGGGTAAAATGCGCCCTGTTCAAAGTTGCAGATGACACTAAGATGTGGGGTGAAGTGGGCACGCTAGAAGGAAGGAATAGGCTGCAATCGGATCTGGACAGTCTACAGGGTCGGGTGGAGGAGAATAGGATGGGTTTCAACACTAACAAGTGCGGGGTACTGCACCTGGGGAGGAAGAACCAGCAGCAGACCTACAGGCTGGGGAACTCCCTTCTTGTCAGTGCAGAGGCAGAAAAGGATCTTGGAGTCATTATTCTGGCCAATATGAACATGGGCCAGCAGTGTGGGGATGCAGTCAGGAAGGCCAACCGCACCCTGTCATGCATCCACAGATGCATCTCAAGCAGGTCCAAGGAGGTGATACTCCCCCTCTATGCAACACTGGTCAGGCCGCAGCTGGAGTACTGCGTCCAGTTCTGGGCGCCGCACTTCAGGAGGGATGTGGACAACATGGAGAGGGGCCAGAGGAGGGCCACCTGCATGATCAGGGGTCAGCAGGGCAGGCCCTACAAGGAGAGGCTATGGGACCTGAACCTGTTCAGCCTCCACAAGAGAAGGCTCAGGGGAGATCTAGTGGCCTGTTACAAACTAGTCAGAGGGGACCAGCAGGCATTGGGGGAGTCCCTGTTCCCCCGAGCACTACCAGGAGTGACTAGAAATAACGGTCACAAGCTGGCAGAGGGTAGATTCAGGCTAGACATCAGGAGGCGCTACTTCACGGTCAGGGTGGCTAGGATCTGGAACCAACTTCCAAGAGAAGTGGTGCTGGTTCCTACCCTGGGGGCCTTTAAAAGGAGGCTGGATAAACACCTGGCTGGGATCATTTGACCCCAGCACTCTTTCCTGCCATGGCAGGGGGTCGGACTTGATGATCTGCTCGGGTCCCTTCCAACCCTACCTACTATGAGACTATGAAACTATAAACAACCACACAACAAGGCACTCTTATATTGCCAGGAGTTACAAAGGAGAAACCCCAGGGGCAGGTTGTCTCATAACTGCCAATAGGCAGGTCTATTCCCATCTCCTCTGCTGATGCAGCGGCTCATAGGTTGAGCTGGAGACCACAGCCTGGCAAAGAGGCTGTAATTTGGCCTCCAAGCCAGCCTTTATGAAGAAGAATCACAAATGACCTCTTTTGCCTGATGTGGATAAGAATGGCCTTTATAAAGGCCCTCAGAGAGCAGAAACACTGGGGCTTGTCCTCCACGTGGTCACTGGTTTGGGAAAGGCAAATGTACCCTTTGTGACATGCTTTGCTTTTAACAGTGCTGCAAAGCTGTGGGGGATACCAGCCCATGTACTGACCCTGCAGAGGCTGAGGGGAGCCATAAGAAGAAGCCCATTCTATGGCCTGACAGGGGGTGGGGAGTGTATGAAGGAGCCTGCTGTAGTGTCCAAGGCAGCAAGATTCAAGCTCATGTGGCTCAGTGTGCCCTGTGCAATTTGGGACAGGGCGACCTACCCTGCTCACCCCCCTGTTCTTTTTTCTGAGTGGCAGCTGGATTTTCTTCTTTGTAGAGGGTTTCATCCTTGATCTAGAAAAGAGAACAATGGAATTAGCAGTGACTGCAAGATTCATGCTACCTGTTACCAGTCTCACCATGCAGGGCTGGGACCACTCTGCATCTGGCTTCAGAGAGAGTTCCTCCACAGCCAGCTCTAGTAGCTGGGCTGTACAGCTGGGCTAGGAGGTACTAACTTACCACTCCCTCCCTACTAGTTCCTGGGTCAGGTGAGATCAGAGATCCAGTTCCCTTTCGCTGTCAGGGGGATCCTGAACATTCACATCTACACATGAGCACATGCATCACTGCACCATGCAAACTTGTAAGGTCAAGGTTATGTGGCCTGGCCTAGAGGAACTGGCAGCAATGTGCTGTGTCATCTTTGTGTGGTCTAGTGCCCTGTGTTCATGGACAGGGCAATGGAGCCTGACCTTTGGTCTGTGTAGTTGGAATGAGTGCTGAGAGCAGAAGATACTGCTCCACACTGTCCTTTGGAGCTCTCTGGGCAGGCTGCTGGCTGTGCTGATATGAGGTCAGGGTGCCCCTCTAAAAGGAAGACAGCCACCACCCCCATTCAGTAACTCAGAGTCTTGGAATCATGCAGTGCAGACCAAGCAGCCCTTTATTACAGAGCTGCTGGGAGGCAGATCCACACACACACACCCACAGAGGAGCTGGGTGAAGCTCCATCAGGGGCTCCCAACCAACAGGTCCTAGGTGCAGAGGCAGTGACGGTTGGAGAACATGCAGCCTGCAGCAGCATGGGGTCTCCCATACTGCCACCTCAGAGTCAAATCCCAGTATGCAGCGTGGGGCATTCTGCCCTGTCCAATGCCAGGGAGCCCAGGCCATGAACCCTGTTGTGATGGTGCCTTGAAAGAATGAATGGACAAACAGATCCAGAAAAAGTTATGGCCATGACAAACTCCAGTTCAACTCAGTGCCTCAGAGCCCAGCTTGGAGAGGGCTTCTGGAAACACAAGAAGCAAGGGGCTGTGGGAAGATATGCTTCTTAGGCAGGGTTGAGCCTACATGGCCCTGAAGTGCTATGGCCCACGCCTCAGACACCACACATGAAGGCCCTGCTTACCACCACACGCTCTGCTCCATGCTCTAGGACCTTCCTTTCTGCTGCTAGCTGTTCCAGGATGGTTTTCTGGAGCAATGGTGCATTAGCTCCTCTTACAACAGCTACCAATTCTCCTCCCTGAAAGGCATCGAATGAAGCTGGTTAGTCAGGGGACACACCTTCTCTTTTCATTAGTCCCCATGTCTGGTTAGACCTTTCAGTAATTCCAGTGTTGGGATGTGGCAAAATCCAATTCTAATTTAATTGCTGGCAAAGAACCTCCTCCAAACTGAATGGGAAAGTGGTAGCTGAAGGCACCAGGAGTTAGCTTGGGGCCTGTGAGGATGAGCACTACTTGGTTAATATAAGATAAGGGAGACAGGCTGAATCAGATAGATACTCTGTGGCTCATGCACTGTCCCCCACCCCACAGACAATATTCTGGGAGCTCCTTAGAGCTTGCCAGCTGTGGCATGGGGCCAGCTGTGCTGCCACAGGGAGGAGTTACAGTGATGTATTCTCATCTGGGTGGAGGTGCCCTGGCTTCCAGCCTGGTCTCTTTCCATTTGAGGTAGTTACAGGAGAAGAGGATAGTCAGGCTGGTGTTGGCCAATGCATGAGGACATGGTATAATTTCCCTGCTACTTGGTACAAGGGACCCACCAAAGTTTCCTTGACATCCCAAAGTGGCCAAGCTCACCCTTGTCCCACAAAATAGTTGCCCCAGCATTCAGATGGTCCACCATGTGTGACACCTTCTGGCTACCCATGTCAATAGCAGCCAAGCGCACAGTGTCACAATACAGCTAAGATGGGCACTGTGCCTGTGTCTGGGTGAGCAAAGGAGAGCGTGCTCTGTAAATCTAGCTCCTCCTTTGCATTGTCCACCCTCAGTCCTGGCCAAGGCACAGGCAGCACAGCCCAGCATTGTCATGGGCATGGGTCTGTGAGGTGGTCTGTGGTGCAGCTGTGGCCACATGTGGAATGAATGGATGGGAATATAAATCTGTCTACACCCACATTACAGACAGCAATTCCACCTTTAAGAAAGGATCTGCACCTTCATGCTTCAGGGCAAGAGCCAAACTCTGATGAACAGGGCTAAGAAGAAACTTCCAGAGGACCAGTTCTTCTAAAATAGCAGTTTAGCAGATTCCAACACCAGATGGTCCTGGACAATGCTGGAGATGAGGTATTGGCCTAGATAGCCCTGTAATAGGCTTCTGCCTCCAATGCGGCTCTGGCACCCTCTGGCAAGTGACTCAGGACTTCCTAGGACACTACCCTGTACTTGCCTGCCATGATCTTACCTACAAGGGATTTGGGAAGCAGTCCTCAGAAAAAGATGCCTTTCTCCCCCTTCTTATCACTGAGCCACCTGTTATCCGGCCCAATGAATGACATACTCAGTCTCTCTGCAAGGCTTCTCTGTCCTCAGTTGGGCTCAAAACTCCCTTCTGAGCATCTTGGCTGGGAGCAAACTCAGTCTCTCTGCCCTACTTGGTTCCACCAGGGCCTGGTGGTCTCCATCTAGTGCCCCTCCATTGACAGAACACACAACATCCTCACATCAGGCCCCTTCGGTGGCCTCCCTACTCCTAACTAGACATCCCACGCCTCGTGGCTACAGAAACACCAGCAAATCCTAACAAAAATGCACCAGCTCTCTAGAGTGCCTTTCCACAGGCCTCCCCACTTCAATCACTGGCTGTGCCCCAGCTTCAGCTCCTCTGGCCTCACACACTGTACGACATCTCTTTGCAGTCCTTCCCACCTTGCTTCCCAACACGGAGCCTCTTCTTTTCCTGTTGTCTGAGCCAGACAGCCTCCTCAGCCCAGGAACTGGGCTTATATGGCTCCTAGGCTATGCCCCTTCCAACTTCAGCTTGTCCAGACTTAAAAGTAGGGTTGCCAACCCTCCCAGCTTGACCGGGAGTCTACTGGAATCAACATCGATCTCCTGGTGACTATTGAAAGCAATCCGGGAGACTGATATTGTGAACAGGTTGAACAGTACAATTAATGACATTAAGTCATGTCGAGGAAAAAAAAAAATCTCCCAGAATAGCTTCAGTCAGAGTTGGCAACCCTACTCAAAAAAGGCCTCTGCTTTTTCATCACAAAACCCTTTGCCTGCTACGGGACAGGGGTTCCCCATTACATAGTTAGCAAACTGGTTGGTGCCTCTGCAGCCCTGTTTCTGCCGCCTGTAGCTCTGCAGGCACATAGTGCTGCCCCTCTTTACTTGGTAGCAGGGGTTAGGGCAGGGGTGGGCAAAACGCGGCCCAGGGGCCGGATGCAGCCCGCCAGGCCATTCTACCCAACTGGCAGGGCCCCTAAAAAATTTAGAAAATTAGTATTGATCTATCTGCCCTGGGCTGCCTGTCATGCAGTCCATGGTGGCTTGCCAAAACTCAGCAAGTGGCCCTCTGCCCAAAATAATTGCCCGCCCCTGGGTTAGGAGGTCCCTGTTACAAGCCATCAGTTCTAACTCAGCACAAACATTGACTCTCCATAGTGTGAGAAAACAAATTTCCTGGATCTTTCCACATTGTCTGCCCTTTATTTAATTTTAAAATTACCTGGCATAACTCTTTTTCCCCCCTCACCAAGATGTCTTCATTTCTCTCTTATTCAGTTACTTATTAGTGAATGAAAAAGACATTAACTGCATTATAAGGAATAGAGTTTGAAAGTGAAATGTTTCAACTGCAAGTCAAGTTTACTCCTATGTATCCAATTTAATTTGTATTTTCACTCACTGCATAGAAGAGAAAAGTAGGTTCACATTTTCCTCGATATTTTTCCAGAGCATCAATGGAATCTACTTCAGCCTAAATAAAATGTGAAAGAAAGAATTCATTTATACTGACCTCTTCTGTTGCAGAACAGCAAACATACATATCCAAAAAAAGTACTGAGGAATATTTTGTGTGATCTGCCCTGTTTGTCTGAGGGCCTGAAAAGCCTTCTTAAAAATGGTTTTTATTATACTATGCAGAAATTATTAGTGACATTTAAAATAATGAGATCTTAATAAAAGCAAATATCATCTTTCTTTACTCAAGTAGCACCATCTTTAAATTACCCCATTATCAGATGTGCCTCCAACCTTGTAATCAGCTTATATGAATCATTACATAAATGATTTATTCAATGTTTTAATGACTGAAAGGAGGGTACAATCACATAGGCCTGCCTGATGGTGTTATTGGTATATCTGATTTTCAGATGCTGATGTCTCTCCCTCTCCCACTAGAAGCACCTTCACTCACCATTGATTCCCTACCATGCTGAGGGCCCTCATATAGCCAATTAAGCCATTTAATGTGTGCTAGATGAATTTGGTGTGGCAGCAAAACATTGTGTAGAATTAAGTTGAATGACGGAGGTTATGGGTACGTGAACAATTTACCATAGGGGTAAAAGGAGCAGGGCTCCCTGGTAGCTTGCCTGCGGACACTTTTACCCTGTGGTAAGTGAAAGCTAACCCCATGGTAATTCACCCCTCTATCACCTGTGCCCACTACAGGCAGTTGTTGGGGAGCAGCCAACATGTCATAAAGCCCTGCCCCCTTTCACCCTGTGGTCAATTGTTCACAGGTCTACAGCAGTGTATCTGGGGGGAGTGGGGGGAAAGGGGGTGCAACCAGGGCACCAGCCTTTGGGAACCAGGTGCCCAACTACACCTTTGCAAGTCTGTCCTCTTAAGGAAGTCAATGACATAAATGCAGTTACCTTTGGGTATGAACAGACATGCATCTGAAATGCTTGCAATCCCTGCTCTCCAGCCAAATGGGCTGGAGAGCAAGAGTCTTTGCATGACTTTCAACCTTGTCACTGGAGATTCTCAAGGAGAGCAAGCACGCAGGAGAGCTCTCACTGGCTGTCTGCCCCCTCATTCTCTATGCGGGAGGAGAAGGGAGCAGAGCACTGTGGGATGCTGGAGGACTGCTAGAGGATGTGGACATTTCAGGAAGCTCTTCAAAATGAAGCACTTCAAAGATGTTCCTCTTTTTCCAGGTCATCTTTGAAGCATCTCAACCACTTTTGAAGCACTTCCTCAGGTATTAATATCTGCCCGCACTGTCTGGAGTACTTCAAAAGCACCTGCAGCTTTTCAAGCAGCATGTCTGCCCATGGCCTTTGTCAACCAAACCTGGTATCCTTACAATGGCAAATATGTTGTACAATCTCTGAATAAGACCATGTTGCTCTGTTTAAGGTGCATTTCTAAATGTGATAAAATATGAGACACCATAAAACCCTTTCCCAGAAAGGTTTGCTAAGATGCATTTCTTACTGCTTGAGAATGTTTATTATGTATGCAATGTAACATTTATTTAGTTCTCAACTATTCATTACCTTAATTATGAGTACCTGAAGTTGTAAGTGGTATGACAGGCATATATTGCTGCTAACAAATTTGACTGGTTTCTAGATGGAAGATTTTGTATTGTGAAGTCCATCGAGGATTTGGTTGGAACAAATGCACTCAGACTTGAGACTGGAATAAAGTTCTAATTACACAGAAATCCTTAACACGGACATTTGCAACTTTTGAGTGCTTTTCTTCACCGATGTAGCATTCTCGCACTACAGCTGTCATACATCTGTGTCAAGACAGAGCGTAGAGCAATGCTGTCTTACAACTGAGTATTGACTTGTAAATCTGAATATAACATATTCTTTTTGGCCGAGAGCTGAGTCTAAGCTGAAATATATGTTTTCCGTACTGGTGAAAGCATTCTCTCTTTCAGGCTCAGATGTGAGGTGTTCATTATTTTAAGAGAAAAATCCTTTCCTTTTATAAATGTAATGAGGGGGAGGCATGAAGTCTTTTCCCATTTGGAGAAGGAATAAGAAACAGAATGATAAGGACTCAATCCTGCAAATCTTCACACATATCAGCTTCCCCACTGTCATAACTAAGTAAATGGAGTTCAAGGGAACCATTCACATAAGTAAGAACTGGAGCATGGACACATCCAGGGGCAGTTGCACTCCCTTTTGATTCCTGCTCTACCCAAAGCTTAAAACCCACTGCCTAGTGGGGGCAGCGGCATTTCTATTCAGGCAGCAATAAAGGAAGGAGTCAATTGACTTCATGAGTCATTATAATCTACTTGATTCCTTCTAAACTCTTCATTTCACAGGTGTTAAGAACCCTCTCTCCTTTTTAATGGTCTTTAATGGTTCCACTACTTGGACTAGCCTTTCTTCTGCAATTTTGCTGTCTGTTAACTGCTCCTGGTAACATAGCTTCTATTTCAAAGCTCTGAAGACTGTTTAAGTCTAGCTAGAAACATTAACTCAGGTGTGGAAATAACTTTCACTGAATCACTGGAAGGACTGTCAAGATGCTCAGAAGGTTAGATTTTGTTTTCTGAATCTGTAGAAGAGATGTATATTTAATGCTAATGCCAACAGGACTAAAGAAACCACACCTTTTGATTATTTTTGCCTAGTTTTGGGGTGGTTTTTTTACATGATATATAATATAGTAATTAATGCACATTCCAAAGAAGTTTTTCCTTTTCCTTTGATCTTTAACTGAATAATATGGGGCCCCTAGCATCTTAGAAAGGCTTCTAGTTTCTTTTACACTGGAGAAAGATGTGTGTTGTGTTATATGCGACGATGCAGTGCATCTCCCTTTTCAAAATCCTAGATCAACATGGATACATCAGCCAGATACTGCAAAGAAAGCCAATACATTTCACCGGCTGCTGGTTCCATAGGTATTTGCTACATAGGAAGCAGTGCTTCTCTGTTATCACTTACCACAGCAAAATGCAGAAGGTCATCACCAAGCTCATTCTTTATTTTCCTGAAAAGGTTCACTACCGTTTTGCATGGACCACACCAGGCTTGATACACATCAACAACTGCCAAGGAGAGAAGCAGTATCATCATGGTAGACAGCACTGAAATATCTCAGAATTAGTTAGGCAAGGCACATACAAATAACTTGGCCATTGCAGGTTTTTAATCAGCTTTGACCATAGCTGTTTCAGATCAGATTGATCAGGGTCATTTGGATATTGAAAAGGGGCTGTTTCTGAACACAATTGATCAGGAAGAAAAATCCCACAATTTACTCACCAAAATAGGAGTGTGGGTCAGGTGTTCAAAGCCCAGATAAACTAAGCTGCTTGATATGAGCTCAAACGTTACCCCATCATATTACCAGAATGCAAGACCAAAACAGAAATGCAAGCAAGATGTAGAAAAGAGAGCAGTGTGAGTCAGTTTAGGGCCAAACCCCAGTGAACTGCATGGGGCTGAAAAATTTTTTTTTAATCATTTGGTTTGGTCTTGATATCTTGATAAGAGCAAGGGATGTGGATCCTGAACAGCTCAGATGAGCTCTGTGCAAATTGTTGCTGAAAAAAATCTTGTGAACATCTGCATCAACTTCACATAATCTTTACACACACACACACCCACCCACCATTATT